TGTTTTATACACCTATATTTGATGAACTATGTTCAGATACAAATGTCACGGAGACAAAAGATGTGAAGATAGTGGAGTTGGATGGTGAGTTTGAAGTAAAAATCTATTCCAACAACATAACTAATAGTTTTATAAGCCTATAAAACTCCAAGAAAGAGAAAAGTTCGGTGCCAGTATCATAACTATATCACTTTTGCATCTTTATTGTAACGCCCCAAATTTTAGTAATATTAATTATTATTATTCTTATATATATATATATATATATATATATATATATATTTATATGTGTGTTGAATTATTTGAAAATGATGTTTTATGTGTATTAAGTACATGGATGTATGTATATATGTATATGTATGACTGGATAGGTTGAAAATGGGCTAAGTGCCTAAGTGCAGGGCGTAACACTAGGCTGTTCTAGGAAGGACCAGAACTGTCGCCCTCTCACTGTAGCAAAAGACGTCTCGCTGTAACGACATTTTCGGGTGCATTTCTAGGTGCAGTCTCAGTGTAGCGAGAGGGCCTCACTGTAGCGAGATTCTGCAGAAACCAGAGTGCAATTTTCTCTGGGTTTTTTGCTGCAGCGAGAGTATTGCGACCAGAAAAGAATTTAAAGGGGGTTAGGGTTAGGGGAGAGTTATTTCTCCTTTTCCCTTCGATCCTCTCATTCCCCAAAGCCCTATTCCACCGATTAATTGCCTCCAAAGCTGTTCGGGAGCTTGATTGAAGGTTAAATCCGTGTGGAGAACGCTTGGAGGTAAGTTTTAATGGTTAGGGTTCCGTTTTTCATCCCTTTTTTCTCTGTTTTCGTGGTTTTCTTGGGTTCTCATGGAGTTTCTCCATATGTTTAGGACGAAATCTGTGAGGGGAAGCACTTCTTGGTGGATTTAGCGTGTGGGTCTTCAATCCAAGGTAAGGGGGACTCTATCCTACTCTTTTGTGCATGAATTGTTGTTATTTTACTTGATATTGTGTTGTGGCTGAGTTAGTGGGTAGGAAATTGCTGAGAAATGTAATGTGGGCCATGTGCCGTGATATGTGAATATTATGTGTGTTGACCCGAACTTGATGGATGTAGATTGTATGTAAATGTTGCATGATAGATGAATATTGGCTATGTGTCGTGTGATGTGAAAAGAATATAGGCCTAGTGTCGTGTATTTGAATGCAATGTGGGCTGTGTGTCGTGTGTAAGCATGATTATTGCATGCGTGAATGGAATATGTGTGAATGAGTGTGTTAGAGCTATTGTAATGTATTGTGAATGGTTCAGCGATACACTAGGGGTGTGGGAGATGAGGACGGTAGAAATACCTTGTGAAGGAGATAGTGGTGGTGACACCGACTGTGGAACGGGTGCACCACGGGCCACACACTCTCTTCCTGACTAGACCTCTGACCATTACCTTTGCTGAGCGACCCGTGACTGCCCACGTGGTATCCATGAGGCGGGGGGTAACCAGCGACCATTCATGGTGTAAATCTGTAATCACAGTGCTGCAGTGAATGTGACTGGTGTGCATATACATGGGTTTATGAATTATACTTATGGATGTGAAAAGTTGCTGGTGATTGTGTTTGTTTAATGTATTGGAATGTTTTGGAGGTGAGACTCTACGTCTATTGTGTGTTTTTGGGTAGTGTAGAGTACTCACCCTTACATTCATTTTTCAGGTAATCAAGACGATCAACACCAAGCTCAGTGAAGGGACGGATGGACTGCTATAGAACTTAGAATTTATTTTGAAAACGTTGTAATTGAGCTAGTCTTGTAGCAGTTATTTGATATTAACTTGTAACCCTTCACTTATTTCGAAACCTTTTATGAAAATTTAGTTATCCGATTTGCGAAATTATTATTTAATTGAAGTTAAATTTAAAGTGTTACATTTTTCATGTAAATTTATTCTTGCTATCACTACAAAAAAAATAGTCATTTGTGATGAATTTTTTAGTTGATAATATAAAAGTTTTGGTCGCTAAACTAGTTAGTGACTGAATTTCTAATTGATTTTGTTGGGCCACTAAACGTATAATTGCTAATTATTGAAAACTAATTTAGTAACTGATAATTTAGAAACCGATTTAGTGACTAAATTTTGTGATCGATTTTAAAGATTTACTAGTAACTGAAGGTAAAAACTAATTTAGTGATTTATTTTAGTGACTGATGTTAAAGATTGAATTGTGAGTGATGTTAGAGATTGAATTAGTGACTAATTTACTGATGCAAATTGATATATTTATACATAGATTCAATTTATATTTGTCACAAATAACTATTTATTTTTATGTTTTCTATACTTCTACAGGAGAATAACAACGTGCAATGAAGATAAATAGACTTTTCTTAATAGACTGAATTCAACGAAAGATGATTAGAAAATAAAAGTGCCAATGATTATGGGATATTCTAAACATATTTCAGAAAAAAAATAATTAGTACTGATATAATACTAATTGATGAAAGGTATCCGTATTTGTATTTTTCTTATAAAAAAATTATTATTGGTAATAAATTATAATTATGTTGTCTTTTACATGTAGTTCTGGACTAACTAGATTTTTTTTAATTTTTTAATTGATTCAATTTTTATTTTTATAAAACAATTACATATATGCTTCAACAGGACAAAGTATTGCTTACAGGTTCAATATCAATAGTATATTAAAGGAAAAATATATATATTCCATAAAAAAAATTTCAGTTACAAACAACAAAGATAGATTTGTTGTGGTTGAAAACAATCTTTACATGTTGCAATTCTATGTCACAACTATTATTAAAGAATTAAACTATGACGATAACATTATTCCTTGTCATATCTTTGAGTTTGTATAATTTGAAGTTTCAAAATGTTGTTATAAAAATAATGTCTTAACTGGTATTTTATTGTAAAACTTTACTAAAATTTTATATAATTTATATTTAATTTATCAATTAGTTTCCTAATTTTTATTTATTTTATGAATAAATGTTATTGGAGTGGTCATGCATACAATGACTCAAGGTAAGGTTAATACCATAACACTTCAATTATAAGACATAAGGTATAAACAATTATTTTAAAGTTATTATTAATTGAAAAATATTTTAATTTTAGTTAAATCATTTATAAAGGAAATAAAGTAGAAGTAACACTATGGGATGATTATATTATATTGCACTATTTGAAGAAATAATAAAAGATAATGTGTCTAAGGATTCAAAAATTAATGTTGAAATATTCACATCCACTATTGTGAAAGAATTTCAAGATAATTGTATTATCCTATATTTAAAATATTTTATTTAATAAATTATATATATATGGTTCATATTTAATTATAAAAAATATGAATGTATGTATTATAGGTAATATTTCTATTTCTACATTAAGTTCAACAAAAATTTATGTCAAACATACCAGAGGTTATTCATTTTATAGATTCATTAAAGTAATGAAATTATTTAAAATTTTCTATTACGGTAATTATTAATAATTCTTTACTTTTCCTCTTAACGAAATTTTCTTATTATTACTTTAATGTAGGAATTTTAATGATGTGCATATTGCTGACAATGTTAATAATACAAGATCTACGGTTCTTTCAAAGTTAGAAAATTTTAAAAACATATATTAAATTTTCACTAAGGCAAAATCAAAGAGTGATATAGTAAATATTATTTCTCTTATATTTTTTTTTCTTATTTTATTTTTAAATTAATTTTCAAAAAGATGTAATTGATTGTATTGCAACTGTGGATGATATATTACTTAAAAATTGTTAGTATTATATTTTTTGCCCTCACTGCAATAAAAAGTTTCTTTCATAACTACAAATTGACTAAACCCTCATTTTGGTCCCCAAGAGAGTTTGCATCTTGCATTTTAGTTCCTAAGAAATTTAAGTGTCATGTTAGTCTCTGACTTTCATCTCCGTCGGTTTAACGCTCCTAATTTTGTAATATTAATTATTGTTAATTATATAAATCTAAATGTGTATATATATATATATATGTGTGTGTGTGTGTGTGTGTGTGTGTGTGTGTGTGTGTATGCATGACTGGTTGGGCTGAAAATGGGCTAAATGCCTAAGTGCAGGGCGTGATACTGGCTGTTCTTGCTGTAGCGAGAGGGCCTTGGGAGGAAGGACCATAACTGTCACCTTCTCGCTGTAACGAGAGACGTCTCACTGTAGCGAGAAAGCGACAATTTGGGGTGTATTTCTGGGTGCAGTCTCGCTGTAGCGAGATTCTGCAGAAACCAGAGTGTAATTTTGTTTGAGATTTTTGCTATGGCGATAGAGGGCGTCGCTGCAGCGAGAGGTGTCTCGCTGTAGCGAGAGTGTCGCGACCAGGAAAGGATTTAAAAGGAGTTAGGGTTTGGGAAGGGTTATTTCTCCTTCTCCCTTCGAATTCCCTTCGATCCTCTCATTCCCAATCCCTTTTCTACCGATTAAACTATTTCCAAAGGCATTTGCAGGCTTGATTGAAGGTTGAATCCGCGTGAAGAACACTTGGAGGTGAGTTTTAATGGTTAGGGTTTCGTTTCTCATCCCCTTTTCTCTGTTTCTAGGTTTCCTTGGATTCTTATGGAGTTCTTCTATGTGTTTTAGGCCGAAATCTGTGTAGGGAGCACGTCTTAGTTTAGGGATGATCAGCACCAAACTCAGTTAAGGGACCGATAGACTGCTATATGACTTAGATTTTATTTTGAAATTGTTGTAATTGAACTAGTCTCGTAGCAGTTATTTGATATTAATTTGTGACCCTTCACTTATTTCAAAATCTTTTATGAAAATTTGGTTATCCGATTTGCGCAATTATTATTCAATTGAAATTAAATTTAAGGTATTACAATATTGGTATCAGAGCAGTTCATCCAAACCAGACTAGGGTATTGGACTAAAGTGTCCAAGATAAGTGTTGATTATTTTGTCTGCCTAAATTATAATGTATAAATTGATCTAATGTGCTGGAATGTAATTGCTGACTTGTTGTAGCTAGGTTGAATATGTCTGGTATTGGTAAAGGTAGAGGAGCTAGAGGCACCAATGACCTCATGGAACGCATGGCTCAGATTCTAGAAGCCATGGTGCATAATCAAGGTGGAAAGTTGGTTAAGTATCAAGGGTTGTCTGCCTTCACTAGGCATGATCCTCCAAGGTTTGAGGGTGGATTCAATCCCGAAGGAGCCCAAAGATGGGTGGCTGATGTGGAGAAGATCTTCAATGCTATAGGGTGCCGTAAGGAGAACAAGGTTGCTTATGCCACCTATTTGCTGTGTGGGGAGGCTGAGGACTGGTGGAGGTTTGCCAGACAGACCTTGCCACAAGAAGATGGTTATATTCAGTGGGAAATGTTCAAGACCATCTTCTTAGGGAACTACTTTCCTCGGGACCTAAGGAAGCAGAAAGCTAGGGAGTTCCTTGAACTGAAACAAGGAAACATAACTGTAGGAGAGTATGCTGCTAAGTTCCAAGAGTTGATGAAGTACTGGCCTCATTATCAGCATGATGATGGAGAGGAGAATTTGTGTGCTCAGTTTAAGCATGGATTGAGGCCATACATCCGAGCTGCAGTCAGTGTATTTCAACTGACGGACTTGCCCACTCTAGTGAGTAAGAGCAGAATCTTTGAAGCCAACTCAAGGGGGAAGACAGTGGACCCTAGGGGAGTTGGTCCAATAAGGCAAGATAGGAGACCCCCTAGGTTCTCAAGGGGACTGTATTCGGGTTCAAATAGCTCTCAGTCTCGAGGGAGTTCATCTCAAGAGAAGAGCAGTGGGAGTGGTTCAGGATCAAGTTCTTCCAGAGGGTCGCTCAAGTGCTTCAAGTGTGGAGGGCCACACATGGTGAGCGACTGCCCACAGCTAAGGATAACTTGTAGCAATTGTGGGAAGTCAGGGCACGTTGCCAACGAGTGCTGGACCGCCAAGAGGGGAGGCAGTACAAGTACAGCTCAGAGGCCAGAATCAAGATACAGGGCAGAAGCTGAGCATTCCTGGTAGAGTCTTTGCTATGAATGGTAGGGCAGAGGCTTCGCAATATGAGGTAAATGTATAATTAAAGACAGATTATTTGATGTGTTATTTGACTCGGGTGCTTCGCACTCCTTTGTATCTGTGTACTGTGTGAAGAGCCTGAATTTGTATGTGATAGAATTGCCGTGTAATGTTGTGGTGACTACCCCTACGAGTAAGCCGGTTGTGATGTCATGGGTGTGTTTGGGTTGTGCAATGATGATACACGGTAGGGAGTTTGAGGTGGACTTAATTTATTTACCTCTTTCTCAACTGGATGTAATCTTGGAAATGGATTGTCTTGCTGCCAACCATGTGCTGCTGGACTGTAGGGAGAAGACTTTGATCTTCAGTGAGACAATGACAGAGGTTCTAAGGCTTATGAGCCAGGGAGCGTGGAAAAACATGGTGAATGCCAAGGCCTTTATGATAATGTTTTCAATGGAGGCTGAAAGCGTTGTGGAGTCAAAGTATATTCCGGTGGTAAGGGATTTCTTGGAGGTTTTTCCCAAGGATATTTATGGGCTACCGCCTGAGAGGGAGATAGAGTTTGCTATCGACCTCATTCCGGGAGCAAGCCCAATTTCTGTGGTGCCTTATAGGATGTCACTGGTGGAATTGCCAGAGGTTAAGAAGCAAGTAGAAGACCTATTGCAGAAACGGTTTGTGAGACCGAGTGTGTTACCGTGAGGAGCACCAGTGCTCTTGGTTAAAAAGAAAGATGGAAGCATGAGGATGTGTGTAGATTATTGGCAGCTGAACAAGGTAAGAGTCAAGAACAAGTATCCACTTCTGATGATCGATGATTTGATGGACCAATTAAGAGGAGCAACAGTGTTCTCAAAGATTGACTTGAGGTCGGGGTACCATCAAATTCGAGTGAAGGATGCCGATATACCTAAAACAGCGTTCAGGACGCGGTATGATCACTACAAGTACTTGGTGATGCTGTTTGGGGTGATCAATGCGCCTGCGGTGTTCATGGACTATATGAACAGGATCTTCCATGAGTTTTTGGATAAGTTTGTGGTTGTGTTCATTGATGACATCCTATATATTCAAAGACTCAGGAGGAACATGCCGAGCACTTGAGGATTGTCCTGCAAATTCTGAGGGAGAGACAGTTGTATGCAAAAATCTCCAAGTGTGAATTCTGGTTGTCAGAAATTCAGTTTCTGGGGCATGTGGTATCGAAGGAAGGAATCATGGTAGACCTTGCAAAAGTGGAAGCAGTGGCTGAGTGGCTGAGGCCGTCGAATGTGACAAAGGTGCGCAGTTTCCTCGGATTGGTGGGTTATTATAGGAAATTCATTGAGGGGTTTTCTAAGATAGCGTTGCCCTTAACGAAGTTGACTCGCAAGGGAAAGGAATTCAAAGGGACCAAGCGGTGTGAATCTAGTTGTTGGAGCTGAAGATAAGGCTGACTTCGGCGCCGATGTTAGCGCTGCCTAACCCGGAGTGGGAGTTTGATGTGTATTGTGTGATGCATCCGGGCAAGGACTTAGTTGTGTTTTGATGGAAGACGGACGAGTGGTCACCTATGTCTCAAGGCAGTTGCTCCCACATGAAGTCAACTATTTGACTCACGATCTGGAATTGGCCGCGGTGGTTTTCGCTCTTAAGGTATGGAGGCATTACCTATATGGAGCGAGGTTTGAGGTATTCAGTTACCACAAATGCTTGAAATACCTGTTTGACCAGAAGGAGCTGAACATGCGGCAGGGGAGATGGATGGAGTTCTTCAAGGACTACGACTTCACATTGTCTTACCACCCTCGCAAGGCAAATGTGGTAGCCAATGGTTTGAGCCGAAAATCATTGCATGTGGCAGTGATGATGGTGAAAGAGATGGAGTTGATTGAGGAATTTCGGGACATGAATTTGGCTATGGAGGTGAGGTCAGGGAGTTTATATATCAGAGCGACGACGATTCACAACGACTTTTTGGTGTATGTTCGAGATGCTCAGCAGGGAGATGCCTTCCTGCAAGACATGATGAGACAGAAAGGTGAGGGGAAAGACTTAGAGTTCCACTGTGATGAGAATGGAGTGATTAAGTTCCAGAACTGAGTGCGCATTCTTCAAGTAGATGAGCTGAGACAGATGGTGCTTGAGGAAGCACATAAGAGTAGGATGAGTTTTCACCCCGGTGCAACTAAAATGTATCAGAATCTTCAGAAGAGTTTTTGGTGGAATGGAATGAAGAGGGACGTGGCTGAATATGTGGCTAAATGTCTAACTTGCCAGAAGGCGAAGGTAGAGCACCAGCGTCCACCTGGGTTGTTACAGCATCATTGGTGAAGGTAATTTGGAGCTCAAGTGATGAGGGAGATGTCACATGAGAAACAGAGAGTAGAATGAAGGAGTTGTACCCAGGTTGTTTTTGTAATTTGTGAGTGTTTGGTTGAATTTCGGGGACGAAATTCCTTAAAGAAGGAGAGAGTTGTAACACCTTAATTTTGTAATATTAATTATTGTTAATTATATAAATCTAAATGTGTGTATATATATATATGTGTGTGTGTGTGTGTGTGTGTGTGTGTGTGTGTATGCATGACTGGTTGGGCTGAAAATGGGCTAAATGCCTAAGTGCAGGGCGTGATACTGGGCTGTTCTCGCTGCAGCGAGAGGATTCTAGTTGTAGCGAAAGGGCCTTGGGAGGAAGGACCAGAAATGTCACCTTCTTGCTGTAGCAAAAGAGCGACAGTTTGTGATGAATTTCTGGGTGTAGTCTCGCTGTAGCGAGATTCTGTAAAAACCAGAGTGCAATTTCATCTGAGATTTTTGCTGTGGCGACAGAGGGCGTCGCTGCAGCGAGATGTGTCTTGCTGTAGCGAGAGTGTCGCGACCAGGAAAGGATTTAAAGGGAGTTAGGGTTCGAGGAGGGTTATTTCTCCCTCTCCCTTCAAATTCCCTTTGATCATCTCATTCCCAAACTCTTTTATATCGATTAAATTGCCTCCAAAGCCGTTCAAAAACTTGATTGAAGGTTGAATTCGCGTAAAGAACGCTTGGAGGTGAGTTTTAATGGTTAGGGTTTCGTTTCTCATCCCCTTTTCTCTGTTTCTGGGTTTCCTTGGATTCTCATGAAGTTCTTCTATGTGTTTTAGGCCGAAATATATGTAAAGAGCACGTCTGTGGTTGAATCTGAGTGTGGGTCTTCAATCTAATGTAAGGGGAGATTCTACTCTATCTCAATGTATTATAATTCTTGTGTATTTTTTTTATTAATGCAATGTGGCTGAAATAGGAAGTAGAAATGGTGTGTTTGATGGAAATTGGTGTGCATTGTGATGTGTGCTGGAATAGTTAGGCCCTGTGGGAAAAATTATGTGTGATGGAATACCATTGATAGATGAATTAATGAATATTGTGAACAAATGTGGACCCGAGGGTCGTGTAATATGGATGGATATGGGTCATGTGCCGTGTAATATGAATGAATATTGCATGTGTGAATGAAATATATGTGAATGGGGCGTGTTAGCGCCGTTGTAATGTGCTGTGAATGGTTCAGCAATACACTGGGGGTGTGGGGATGAGAACGGTCGAAATACCTGGGGGAAGAGGGAGTAGTGGTGACACCGACTATGGAACGGGTGCACCACAAGCCACACACTCTCTTCCTGACTAGACCTCTAACCATTACCTTTGTTGAGCGACCCGTAACTGACCACGAGGTATCCGTGAGGCAGGGGTAACCGGCGACCATTCATGGTGTAAATCTGTGATCACAGTGCTGCAGTGAATATGACTGGCATGCATATGCATGGGTTTATGAATTATACTTATGGATGTGGAATGCTACTTGTGAATGTACTTGTTTAATGTATTGGAAAAGTACGGGAGGTGAGACCCTATCCTGACTGTGTGTTTTGTGTAGTGTAGAGTACTCACCCTTACATTCATTTTTCAGGTAATGAAGACGATCAACATCAGACTCAGTGAAGGGATGGATGGACTGCTATAGGACTTCAATTTTATTTTGAAATTGTTGTAATTGAACTAGTCCCCTAGTAGTTATTTGATATTAATTTGTAACCCTTCACTTTTTTCGAAATCTTTTATGAAAATTTGGTTATCCGATTTGCAAAATTATTATTTAACTGAAATTAAATTTAAGGTGTTACAGTCGACATGTAAGTCCCTAAACCTAGAGGCCGTTAATAGACAGTAACGGAATGCTGACATGTTATATTAAGTGACACATGTCATTACTTATGTGGCAAAATGATGTTTACGTGTCACGTTAAGTGACACATGTCATTGATTACGTGGTAAAAACAACATTGGATGTGGTATAGTATACATTTTCATTTCATTTTAGTCCTTGAAATTATAACTCGTCAGACATTTTAGTTCTTGAAATTGTCACCGATAGGCATCTTAGTCCCTAAGATTGTCACTGACAGATATTTTAATTCCTAAAATTGTCACCAACAAACATTTTAGTCCCTGAGAGAGAGAGAAAGAGAAGATGGGTGGTAGAAGTTCTGTTGAAAAAGGATCTGGTGGAGGAGATGATAGAGAAAGTTCATGTGGAGCTGCATTTGCAAGATGATTGGTGGCACCGTAAGAAGAGGAAGGAAAGGGAAGGGAAGAGAAGAGTGATTGGAGTTCTTCGACTCGTCTAATGATAGAAAAGTCATGCTGAAACCTTTATCGTTGTCCTAACTCATTGTAAACTGCAGCATCATCAAAACTAACCATTGCTGTTCAAAACCCAACACATCATCTTCAAGTCACACCCATGTAAAAGATTGCGCTCACACCATAATAGCTTCATCACTTACAACTCAAGATTTTGTGCTCAAGTAAAACCCAAATATTTGATATGAATGCATGCATATATACAAAGGAAAACTACGAAGAAGAAGAGTGTGTAATCACATTCACACAAGAAGAAGCTAAAGAAGATGTGAAAGAAAGATATGAAGATGAAAGAAAAATAAAGAAAGCAATGAGTTATAATCTTAAGGACTAAAATGTTTGTCGATGAAATTTTAAGGGTTAAAATGTCCGATGAGTTATAATCTCAAAGATTAAAATGAAATGAAAACATATACTATACCACATACAATATCATTTTTTTCATGTAATTAATGACACGTGTCACTTAAAGTGACACGTCAACATTGTTTTGACATGTAAACAATGACGCGTGTCACTTAACTTGACATGTTAGCATTTCATTACTGTTTATTAACGGCATCTAAGTCTAGGAACTTAAATACCCGTCGGAGATGAAAGTCGAAAACTAGCGTGATATTTTTAATTTTTCAAGGACTAAATGTGAATTATGTTATAAAGATGTTGAGTACCCAATGATAAGGTAACTGAATTATAATACTATGTATTTTATTTTTTAAATTTTAATATTAAAATAAATTAAATTATATATTATTACCTTAATTTATATACATTACAAGTTTGGTCTTGAGATTGATGTTAAAGATTCTACTGATTCAATTATATGTGTCTTATTTGATAAAATTGTTGAACAACTAGCACAAATAAAGTTAAAAGATCTCTTTGAAACATTTGAAATTGTAAGCAAATGTTTTAAGATCTAATTTACTGTAAAATTTAATCAAATGATTGATTATATAAATAAAATATATTAAAATAAATAATTATTTTTATGTGATAATTTTTCTGGGATGATGGTGAAAAGTTGAAGTTGCCTCCACAACTTTTAAATTTTATAGGCACTTCATATATTTTTCAAATAAAAATGAGTACTTACTTTGAAAGTTGTGAAAAATAAAGTTTTACAGCAAATAAAATTTTGAAGTCGAGTAGTGAAGGTAACATAGAAGATTAAATTGAAATTTTATTATTTCCATTTATAATATTTACAATACTATGATGAATAACTTTATTTTTATTATTTAATCTTTACATATTGAGAATGAAGAAAGTTTAGATAATATAAATATGAAAATAAAAGAAAATAATTTGACAATAAGTTCTTTGTGTATATCTCTCACCGCTAGAACACCAAATTTTTTAGATTATATAGTAATTTATATTTGATATTTTATTTTAGATTATAATTTGATGAAGACGAAGCAAATAATACTGAACGAAAAACAACAATAAAAGATTTAAAAGATTAAACAATTTTATTGCATTATTGTATAAATACTTTTAAAATTTTGTAGAATTTAAAAAAGTAGAATATCACTGAACTTTTTCATCTTTATAAAATAATTTTATTATCTTATTATATATATCTATCTTACTTTATTATTATTATGTATGGACTAGTTCTTATCATATTTATTTATATTTTATATGTGACTTATAAATTTTATATTATATCAATATGTGTAATTTTAAATGATATATGAATTAATTTTTATATTTAATAAAATTATTTTCTCTTTTAATTTCTATTTAAATCTTAATTAAAATTTTTAAATATATAAAAATATATTTATCATATTTTTTAATGTAATTATATTTGATATTATTTAATATAATAAAATTTTATTGTTATATATTTTTATATTTAAATTATAAATTTTTTATTTTAAAATAAAATAATTTTAATAAAAATATAAATAAATTTGAATAACACATAAATATATTTACTAATTTATAAATAAATTATTATTAAAATTTCTAATATTTAAAGTCATATATAAATTAATTTTAACTATTAGATTTATTTTTTTTATATATAATTTACTTTAAAAATAACTAAAATATTTATTTAACATTTTTTATCTTTCTGTTATATTAAAAATAATTTTTTGTATTTAAATTATAATTATTTTATAATTAAATTAAATAAAAAATATATAAATATATTTATGCAAATTCGTGCAATGCACGAACATATTTATTAGTATATAATATATTTTTAGCTTTAATATTTAAAGTTAAATTTAAGTATATAAAAATAGTAATTTTTTTATTAAAAAGTTATTATAATAAAATTATATAAATAAAATAATTATTTTAAATTTTTATAAATTATATAATTATTATTATTGTTATTATTGGTATTTATTGTTTCAAGTTAGACCTAAAATTTATAATTAACATTTTTTACACATAAAAATCTGTTTAAAGAAAAATAAAAGTAAAATATTAATTCTTAAAATTTTATTAAAATGGTAAAAGTGAAATCATGAAAATCAGTTTGAAGTATCATTTAATTTTGATTTATATATAATTTTATAATTTTTTTATTTTTATTTTTTTTGCGTTTGAAGAATCCACTTATTCATACACTGAGTAATATCAATCTAAGGCTCTAAGCATTGTAGCTCTATTTGATTATTTTTTTTTTTAATGTGAAACGCAATTGGATGTTTTTTCAACTTACTTCAAAACTCCGATTTCTCTAAAGAAAATATATTTTTACTCCAGCTTAAATTATATTCCAATAACAATGCCACACAATTCAATAGTTAAAATTTAATTATATTTTAAAAATATATTCCATATTAAAATAAATTAAATTTAATAGTTATAAAGTATATAAAATTTGGTATATTTAATCTACATATATAATGCATAAAAAATTATAGTTTAATATTGAATTGATAAATTTAATATTTATAAAAAATACCATATCTTTAATATATATATAATACTATTAATACATAGTTATTATAAATTTTAATACATTCTTAATATATATATATATATTAATACATAGTTATTATAAATTTTAATACATTCTTAATATATATATATATATATATATATATATTAAGAATGTATTAAAATTTATAATAACTATGTATTAATAGTATTTCTAATAATTTATTTATATTCTTTAACTGATATCTGTTTGACATATTTGTTTTGTTGCTTCACGCGAATGCATCACATAAGTAACAGTAAAATGTTCTTTTTGAGCACAAGAGGATTCAGCAAGAAGTTCAAACGTTAAAGATGAAACCACACCTAACAATGTCTAACGGTCTTATAGTAATAGATGCCTTTACTAGGCAATTGAGATTTTCAGGCTAAAGACTTTAGGTCAAGTAGGGTTTGCAATGCTAAATTTATATGTTGAATTCCATGTCTTGGATACAGTCATTAACATCTTAATCCAAGGGGGAAAAATGACGTTACAGAAGAGAGAAAGAGCACAAAATGATGCATGTGGACATGGATGAAACACATTAAGCATATGGCAGTGGACTGCAGTGAATTGAATCATACATCAAATAGCCTAATTCATTGCTAATTGAATTCTCCACGCACACGCATAATGCATTTTTCTTTTCCATTTTTCAATGCTTTTTTTTCTCCTAGAGGAGTCTCTTAAGGAATCATCCTCACATATGGCGTGGATTGAGTATCTTGTGTATAACACCATCAACATAAGGGGTTGCTTCTTTGCATGGTTCTCTTTCCCCACAAATTGCAATGTGTTATGTGGCTTAATGATTTGATGAGTTGTCACCTTGTGGAGGTTACCGTGACTCAGTTGACTGTGTTGCACATGTCTTCGATATGTTTTCTTTCCTCTTTTCGTATTTTCCCCTTTGATAGAAAAAAGAAATTGATAATAAAAATAAAGAAAAATAATTAATTTTAATAAATACATATGCATTTTAAAATAAAATATTAATCATTTCTAACTAACTCCTCCTTCTAAGCGATGATTTTCAAAATATCTTCAATAAAATTGATTAATTCTTCTAGAAAACATTTTAGTATGATTTTTTTTTAAAAGGAGGCTTATAATATTTCTGATCATATTATGTAAAGTCACAAAAAGATTTTAAACAACAAAGTTTCCATAATTTATTCCATTTAATTTTTCTTTCATGCAATTTAAAAACAAAGAACAAATAACCTCATGGGCGATCAAGATTTTTTCCTCTCCTGCAATGGTAAAGGGAAGAACTTATCATTAAATGGGTTTGACGATTCGCATATTATTTTAATTAAAAGTCTATTAGAATTCATTACATTATCCTGTAGCAATATTGCCATATTGACAATGTTAGTATATCAAGTTGACTGTCATTGTTTGACTCTTTTACTTCAAATATTTGTTTACCAATACTTGACATAGAAAATATTGGAATTGATAATGACCAGAACATAATGTAATTAAATGCCTTACTATTTGTTTTTCACTTTGAGAATGTTCATAATTGACACCTACTTGGAAAGTAGGTAAGGTTTGTTGCTTTCTCAAAACTAGGTTTAAGCTTATATAAAACGACTATTCTTTTTCTATACTCATCTTCGAGGTCTATTTCAGTTGCCTAATGCTTAACAAAATTTATGATTTGGTGGGCCATCCCCGAACGTAATTGACTATGATGATGAGATGATTAATTGATTTAAGAGAAAGTAAACTCAAAAGGAATGAATATTCATGATTGAGTAGCTAATCTGTTTAATGATGACAATATATAGATCACTGAACAATCAAGTTTGGACTTCATATTTCCCCTCAGCCATATACATATTCAACACATTTGATTGCATGATAACAAGACAATTAACAAATTGTTGAGTGTCTAAGACTACTGTTCAATTAATGATTTAGGAGGATTTAATTTGCATTAACAAATTGCATGCAACATTCAAATGTATGTATTCCTTTTTTTTTTCATCCTTATTCCTTTTCATTATATAAATATTTTAGATTTGTAATCTACTTGAATAAGATAAACTTGTCATTTTATATGTGTATATCTATATATATAGAGAGAAATATCTTCTCACACCAGTATAAATTTATAAATTCTTACATTCAATTGATCTAAACATTTTATTTATCTTACATCTAACAATTAGTGAAATAATAAATTATAACTCATTAGATATAAGTTAAATGAAAGACTCAGATTATATATATATATATATATATATATATATATATATATATATATTAATGTTATTAATTGCTAGGTATAATTTAATGTCACTGTAAAATCATAAACCGTCATATAACTTTTTTTTATCTGTTCACATGTAAATATATGTCATAACTGATTTTAATCGATTTCAAAGAAAATATATAAACAATGGAAGGGTATAATGGTAACTTAACCAAGAAATGTATTTTATATTACCTTTCTTCATTGAGAAATATCTCTTGGCCTTCTAGTACACTTGTAGGTTAGAACTGATGTAAAGTTGTAAAATTATGTAACCGAAAAAAGGAGAATACACGTAAAACAAGGGGACAAATTGAAAGATAAGAAAAAGCTCTCAGGAGAAAAGGGGTCATCAGTTATTTTGGCATTAAAGCTTGCAAACAACTTATAGAAAAGCAATTATTATAGTTGTCTCCCTCCAGAAGATAATATTCGAAATGATTATGACGAAAAGAAAGCTTAAACATGAATTATTGTAATGACCTCGATCGATAGGCTTTATATACAAGCAAACTACACATGTCTATCAACTTCAACAGAATACCAAAAAGTCGATTAGTACTCTCTTTGTGGATCATCGATTCATTGCTCTTTCTTATAAAAGACTACAACGAAAAATTAATTGGGGTGATGAAACTGCACCGAATATGTCTCATTTATTGAATCTATGTGATTGTTCATATAGTTATATTAATTATCTTTTTAGGTTTAATTTCATCAACAAGATTGTTCGAAAGATCAACCAACTATGTTATCAAAATTAAGAGCTTGTAAGGCTTCCCAAGGTATGTTCTTACTTCAGCTTTTTATTTCTCTATTATCTTCACAACTTGAAAATCCTTGCGACATGAGTTAGGTTAAAGGTAGTGTTTTAAAACCAATATCGTGCTTAATAATTATTTGGGAATCTTGGAAAGATTAATTGATTTTCTACTTGTTTATCAAAGGAAAATGTTATGTACGAATAATTAATTGAAAGACAAGCATAAAATTTCCTTGAATGAAATGGAAGTACATGCTAACATTTTCCTCACCAAAATGTTTTCATTTTCGTATTCAGTACATTCTAAAAACAAATAATGGCAAAATTTTCAAAGGTAAATATATAAATGCAACACAATTTGAGAGGGTAAATGGAAAAGCTTGGTCCTGTTTCTTAAAGAGCGAAAGTAATATTTTTCTCCATGTATTCTTTAATTAAATAATGTAAAAACTATGTCCTCCATTTTCTTAAATTTTGAAGCTCAGAAACTTCTTTCTGACTACTACTCCTCGGCTCTGTGATTGTTGTAAGTTTGCTTTGTTAAACCAAACGACTTTATTCATTTTATTTAGTTTCTTGTATACTGCCTTATTTTCGTGTGTCTTATTAATTACATACTAAGGCTATGTTTGATTTCTCTTTTAAAAAGATTTTTCTATTTTTTTCCTTCTAAATATAGTATAAATTTATATTATATTTAAAAAAACTCATTTAAAAAAAATTAAACATACTCTAAATCTTTCATAAATTAGCTTCTATTTATGTTATTTGAGCTCAATGGCTTATGTGATATTCTAAAATTTTATACGTCCTTTTTCTAAGGTAAATTACACTTTATCTTTATGTAGTTTGAACGTTTTAAAATTTATCTTATACATTTTTTGTTACATCAGTAAACTCTTTTTCTTTTTTCCGTATGATTTAACCTCTTTGTAATACCACTTTTTTGTATCACTATATTCTCATCATAGAAATTTATTGACAAAAAGAAATATAGGAGGTAAATTAAAAAAAAAAAAAACAAAAGGTATCAATCTACAACAGAGTAAAGTATAATTTACTTTCAAATCAAATTTACTTTCAAATCAAATTTCCCATAGAATTATTTAAAATTTGAATGACTTTATCTCCCGAAATAATTAAATTCAGACATGCAGCTGGTTCCCTATCTTTAAAAGACAAGTTTCTTTTTGTGGTACATTCTTGTTGACATTTGATTGATGTATAGATTATATTTCTGCTGTCAGATGTGAAGCAACCTAGAGATGCTCAAAAAAGCATAAACTTCCATGAGGAGTACCAGAAGGCTTTAAGGACAAAATCCTATGCTGATTTTTTCAACAAGGCTCAATTACTTGCAAGCCAGCCTTCCATTTATTCCAAACAAAATAAATTTTCAGAAATCTTCCTTGAACCAGATCAAGAAACCATACATTCTATTATTAATACAACAATCCTTTCAAAGACACCAGAACTAAAGAATCTCATGCTCAGCTACTTTGACATCAGCGCTGAGGCTTCATTCATTTGCACCCATATTCTCAAAAGCATCAACCAAGTTCAATGTAATTACCAATTCATTCAAAGAGCACTAGACATTATGGATGAAAATAATGACTCTCATGATAAACTCAAACAAATTGGTTTTGAGCTTAACTCATTCATTGTCTCAAATAACCCATTTTCCAATCTTAGCAATCTTGGTTTCAAGCTCATAAGTGATAATAAGTACCCATTAGTTTTGCACCATTTAAAATCAATGAGAAAAAGGGTAGGAAGGAAAATTAAGATAATGAAGTATTTGAAGAAGGCATCAAGAATTTGTGTTGTACTAGCATGTGGCTTAGTGGTTACCACAGCCACAGTTACAACAGCACATACTTCAGTAGCTTTAATCATGGGTCCAGCATTTCTCAGCATTCCATGCGTGAGTATTAAGAGGAAGCTTCCAAGTTCAAGGTTTTCAAGAAGTAAGTTTCTCACTAAACTTTGTGATCAGCTTGACATGGCAGCCAAGGGAACTTACATATTGAATAGAGACTTTGAAACAATGAGTAGGCTAGTAGCTCGGCTTCATGATGACATTGAACATAACAGGGCAATGGTGCAATTCTGTTTGGATAGGAAAGTTGATAAATGCTTTTTGCAAATAGTGAAGGAGCTTCAGAAAAGTGCTGCTGAGTTTAGGAAACAAGTGGAAGAACTTGAAGAACATTTGTACTTGTGCCTTGTGACAATTAACCGAGCAAGAAGTTTGGTTATTAAGGAAATGACAGAAACATGTACAGAAGGCTTCGGACAGTAGACTTGAAAATATACTTGTGAAGCTTGTACAGTGTTATTAAGAATTGTTTTTTCTTGTATCTTATCATTATATTAGTGTTTTTTCTTAAGTGGCTGGGAGGATTTGTGTTTACATTTCAATATGGGTTAATCTATTTGACAATGACATGTAATTTATGATAACAAAGCTTTTTTAAGGTGTAACTCGTATAAAAATTTGTTTTATTTAAATGAAATCTTAACTTTATATATATATATATATATATATATATAAAGGGTTAAGACATTATTGTTTCTTCAATTAAACCTACCTAACTTAACTGTTGTTTGGATCTCAAAATATTGTGTTTTATATAAACACTTCAAAATTTAGTTTAATGTAATTATGCAAAGTTTCTCTATAAAAAAATTGGAAAAAAAAAAAATACTATTCTTCATTCGACTTCTATCAATTCAGTCCAAGTTCCACTTTAGTCCGGCTAAGAGTCATATATTTGAATTTTTTTCTTCGAAAAACTAAAACAATCTGATATTATAATTATAAATTTCACATAATGTTAATTTTGAATTCTAAAATTCTAAAATCCAACTCAATGTCATGATTGATGAGGACACACAAAGAGGGTTGGAAGAGATAATGACCGTTTGTTAAATTTTTAAAGAAGTTTTTATAGGAAAAAAATAATATAAAAAATAAATAAATTTTATTTTATAAAGTAGAATCTTTATTTTTAAGAAGTTCTATCATTTAATTTTTTTTAAAAGATGTCATTTCTAACTTATAAAAAAAATTTGTTCATTTCAATACCCATTTTTTCTTCTATATAATTTTTTTTTATCTAAACTGGACTAACACCATCTGTTTGACATATACACTTTTAATGGTATTTTATAAAGTATACATTTTTTAATTAATTATTGAATCATATGATCCTATTTTAGTAATTTTGTATAATATATTTTAGATCATTTAAACAATAATAAATATATAATTTAATAATATAAATCTATTTATATTTTAAATATTACACTTTAACGTATAGTAATAGGATAAAATATCAATTAGTTTTAAATTGTATATACTTCTATATATTAATTTATTTGATAAGAATTTCAATAAGATTATTGCAATGATTATTCTTTTTTGTAGTTAATAAATCATCAGTGTATCACCTTATATTAAAGAAGAGGATAATTTTTTTATTTAGCATATAATCTTTAATTTTATTCGCTTTTCTTTATTTTTTTTTTAAGATTGGTGAAATAGAGTTGAAAATGAGTTCTTGAGTAAAAACGAGCTTAATTTGAAGAAATCTAGCATTATAAAAATTTATAAATATCCGAGCAATGAAACAACAGTGAAGGCATGTGTAAATATATTTCAGCAACTACATTCATGCTTATGTGCACAATCGCGCTAAATTTATAGCATGCCCATGCAAGTCAGAGGACACTTAAGTGTTTATATATGTGATTTAGGAGCTTTAATTAAGATAACTCTTTATTTATCGTCAATTGGGTATGAAAGAATCAAGCCTACTCTAGCTATCTGTCTTAAGGGACCATTGTTTGCGCTAAAAGCATGTTAGAAGACGTGCAAGTAAAAGTAGATAGATTTCTATTTTCAGTTGACTTCTACGGAGTAGATGCTAGAAAGAACAAAAGTATATATCTCAATCATTTTGTGACATCCTTTCCTGACTACTACAAGCACTTTTCATTGATGTGAACAAGCGCACACTTATTCTGTAAATGCAAGATGAAGTGGTAACCTTCTTTGCCTCTAACGTAACAAAACACCCCTGGTGCTCATAAGCCAGGCAAGGAAGGTGCAACTTTAAAGACCAATACATCATCATACACTCAAAATTCCTATGGAGGCAAGAGAATAACATTCAAGCTTCCACACAGGTTGATTCAAATGAAGCGACAAAAATCCTCCTAATCTGAATTTGGTTAAGCTATGACACGACCTTTTGGCTCGCAATGTTAAGTCAGAGCTTTGCATGAGGCAACCAAGTTCCTTTGGTAGTAATTCTAGATTTTCAATTTTCATATTTGCATGGTTGTGCTCCCTGTCAACATGGTCGCGTACTTCTAATCATAATTAAAATGTTTAGGATAAAGTTTGAAAAAGAATGATAAAAGAGTTTTATTTTTCAAAAACTACCACTAAATCAAACGATAGCTAGACTTAAATCCTAAAATCTTCACATACAAAAGGGAGTATTTAGCATCCAGAGTTGTGCTAAAGAAGGAAAAACACTAAATTGGAATCTAGGTGATACATATCAACCCTCTATAGCGGTAGGTGAAGATTTCAGATGCATTCATATCCATAGGTAGATGATAGTATTCCTCTCAGGGTCGAAGCAACATTCATCCTTGTCAATTGCAGCGAAGATGGTGTATGTCAGGTGTGAAAAGTCTACCCATGTATTCATCTCAATCGGATATATGTGATGTAACCAATACAAAGTCGGAGTCAAATGAGGAACAAACTAATATGTGAATAACTGTTAGATATTTTTCTAATACCCTACGTATATTATATTTATAACGTTTCAGGCCTTCTAAAATATATTATAAGAATATTTATTAGAATTTATAAATACTTATATGAATTTTATTTCTTATAAATATCATAAGTCTACTTATTTTTACTTTTAATAATTAATAGACCAAATTTATAAATAAAATAATATTAATTGTCACAACTCTTCATAAAAGGTATAAGATTTAAAAGGTATAATTATTCATAAAAGTGTATTTGACTATTATAATTAAAGTTCATAGTTTCCAAGTCAGATATACACAATTTTTTCTTCTTCTAATAATCCATTGTTAGTAAAGATTAAAAGCAATTATGTATAAAGGCTTGAAAAAAAATAATTCTTGACTATAACACCTTTTTCTTAATTTATATATTACATTGTCTGATAAGAGTTTACGACTTGTCCTATCTAATGTTTGACTTATTTAAATAATTAGTTTAATTTAATTTTTTTAAAAATTTAATTAATTAAATAGGTCAGATTTAAATTTAAATTTTTTTATTAAATATAATAAAATAAATTATTTAAAATTTATAATAATATTAAATTATAATATATTTTTTTTAAAATAATAAATATAACAAATATGTATATGTAATTTTATTATAAATATAAAAATGTTGAATCATATTTGTTATAACTTTCTCAAATTCAAGTCTTATTACTTTTTTAAAAATATGCTAATAGTTTGATAATTTATTTTTAAATAGATTTAATTATTTATTAAAAATGTTAATATAAAATACGTTATTAAAAAGATTAACAGATTAAATCAAATTCTTAAAAAAGATTTAATTAGATTTAACAAAAATTTATGATAAATTATGTTAAACTCATACTTCAAAACGATTAAAGTTCTTGAGACTATTCTTTGAAAAGGTTTTTAGAGTTGTTATAGGGTGGTTTTCACATGTTTTGGACCACACATGGTCCATAATCATGTTGTAACTTGGTAATTGGCTTATTATTTTAATATTTATTAGACAATTTTAATTTTTTATAAAGTAAATTTAGCAGTGTATGTAAGTTGGACTACGGGTGGTCCATGTTTTCACGGGACCACTGTATGAAAAATCCAATTTCTATGGGGCGGCAATGGAAGGAAAAAAGTGGACTAGTATAATTTTGACAAATATATTAGTAAATAGGAACTTGCATAATTTTTTTAAAATAAAATAAAATTATACGAACCGATAGATCCATTAAGCTACATAATATTAAATTTTTATATTTTTATGTTTGATATAGAGGAATTAGTTATTTGATTTATTTAAAATATTTAAGAAACAAGACTATTAGTATAAATTATTTTGAAAATTTAACATATGCTTGGATTTTCAACTGAGTTATAAATCCTGTACCTGATTTTACATCTTGTGTGCCGTATTTATTGCTTTCGCAACTCATGTACAATACTCAATTATGGTGGTTTAACCGTGTATGATAAGCATTAGTTACGTGTAATGTAACAATTTTAACGGAATAAATCATAACTTGGTGACCATGTTAACTGCTACCTGGAGCAACAGTAAAAGTAAGATAGTAGACATCAATAATAAAAATTGGCAACTTATATGATATAAATTTATATTATATATTTAAAAAATTATTAACTTTTAGCTTTCAGAGTTCACTTTAAGCACTTATAAATAGTATTTTATTGAAAAATAGTATAACATTAATTCACATTATCATATTCTCAAGATATAGTAGTTTAAATTTGAGCTTAACTTTAAGTTTCAGCTTACTTGTTTAACTAAAAAGATAAATTTAGCCTACCATTTAAAAGTTTAGTTCAAATAATTCACAAGTATCTCAATTTATTAAAAAATTCAAAATTATTAAAAATAATATTCTTTACCTTAATTGGAATTTTTAGGATAAGATTATGGTGATAAAAATAAAAATAAAATAAATATGAAAAACATTTCTTCAATTAAATTATTAGTGTTATTTATAATGTCCTATATTAAAATATATTATCATGCTAATATTTTTTAATAATGATATATGCATGCTAAATAATAAATTATTTCAAAATTTTGCAAAAAAAAAAAAAAGAAATGGCTAAAAATTAAACGTCTAAATTTTTAAGAAAATTTTCATGCATATCATGAATAACAAATGTGAATTAATAATATTAAAAAACTGAAAATATCAATATCTTTAATTCTTCAATTAAATCATTTTATATATTAAACTATCAAAGAATATACTAAATTAATAATTTTGATTCTCTATTTTTTTCTAACTTGGTCTTTAATTTTATTTTGGTTCTTTAAAATTATCTTTTATTTTAGTTTTTTTTCTAATTTTTTTTATTTAGTTCTATATCTTCATTTGGAAGGATTAAACTAAATAAATAAATAAATAAATTAGAGAACTAATATAAAATAAACACTACTACATAATACATATTTTACGTAGGTTGAATATAGACTTTTAGATAAGTTGTCAAACCAATAGA